TAGACAACTGGACATACCTTGCAGAGGGGTAGTGGGGAGATGAGTCACAGGGTTCAGTATAGCAATAATGAAACCCACAACCTTCCTCTAATTTATGTATTTTTATAACTCCAATTACATCTTCTATTCAGTCATCAGGAGTTAAGGATTCAAATAGTGTGATCAAATCTCAGTGAACAGAATAGAAAACTGCCTATTCTCTCCAATGTCTTTTTCATCAGACTTGCCCTTTAAAAGTCAAACCAAACAAGATTTCACTTTCTTGGAAAGTTACATGTAAAAAAAGCAAAATGAAGAGGTGACTTTGAACTACTGGTTTTCGTACTTTATATCATTATATATTCCTGTTTCTCTTTTATTAAGTTGCAAATTGTTTTCTTTCTTTCTCTTTGCCTTCTAGTCATTGGGGACTTATAGGACAGAGGATAACTATTCGAACCAACATGTAAGCACTATGCTATAACAAAATTAGGAGATCATTTAAACATAATTGTTTCCTTTAGGTAAAAAACAAATAATCTGCAATTTAGATTTGCTGACAATACAAGGATTGAAAATAATTTTAAGTATTATACCAAAAAAAAAAAAAAGAAAAGAAAAGAAAAACAATCAAACCATCAAATGCACTGGTATTGAGTCCATTCTGATCCATAGCACCCAGGTATAGTTTCTGAGATTGTAAATATTTACAGGAGCCAATGGTTTCATTTTTCTCCCACAGAACAGCTGGTAGGGTTGTATTGCCGACCTTCACCCATGACACCAGGATTCCTACAAGTCACATATGCCGTATATATAAATTATAATTAAACAGGAATAATATTGGGCCAATATAGTATCTTAAATCTATATGGCACTTTCCACATTAAGAGTCCGGTTATTTCACCAACTTTTCTTACATTCATCATAAATATTTTATACTCATTAATATCAGAATTCAGAAAGATTAAAATACCAGTCTATAACTGCTTGGTAAATGATAGAACTCGGATAGTTAAATGATTTAATGGGATGCAAGATTATTTCTTGTCACATTAATTTAATTTTTTTTAAATCGAAAATCCTGGTTTTCTAGGATTTTTTTTATCATACTTATTTCTAAAAATGGTCACCTTGCCACTTTATAAACTATATTATGTGAAGATTCATTCAAACATTGATACTAGTTTCACAATTGCTTCCTTTTAGATTAAAAACATCTAAATGTTGTTAGTTAAGGAGCACTGGTGACACAGTGGTTAAAATTCTCAGAGGTTCACTGAACCGACCCGCTGCTCTCTAGGAGAGAGACACGGTGGTCTGCTTCTATAAAGATATCTAGTCCCAGAAACTCTCTGATGCAGTGCTACTCTGTCCTGGAATTGACTCGAGTGGTTGTGGTTCTTGTGGCATCAGCTCTGGCAGCTCCGTATGTGTACAGTAGAACTGCTCCGTAGCGGTTTAAAGACCTCCCAGAAGCAGGTGCCAAGCCTGCCTTCCAAGGCACCTCTAGGTGGGTTCTAGTGCCAACCTTTCAGCTATTGGTTCATATCCTTAACCGATTGTACCCAGGAACTCCCCAATATAATAGGTCATTTATTTTTTATGCTCAATGGGGCTTCAAAAAATTCTTCAGAAAATTCCATTATTTTTTAATTCCACTTTTCCACAAAGTTTTTGAAGCCCCCTTGTTACGTACATTGACTATTTTGGCAGCTTTTTTTTTTTTCCAGCTCGGTAATGGTAATTATTCCAGTTCCTTGCTTACAAAATTAAGTGAAGGTCAAGATGCTTTCAGTTCATCATATAATACAGCACAACTTGGAACATTATTTGAAAGATTAAACAGGTAAGCAAATATGCTGAAGGAAAGCTCTATCACTTATTTAATTTTTAATGATCACAAATATTTTTAGTTAGAAATATAAACTGTCCTTAGTAAAACTACTAGAAAAACTCAATAGCTGTAAGATGTAGCATTTAATTGTAATTGTTGATATAATTTTAATGGACATATATATCTTTATTTTAAAATATTTTTATCTAATGGTTTCGTACATATTTTATATGATATGCATCATTTTTTCTGTATTATAAATATGTAACCATCTTTTTCACATTTTGGATATATGATCCAATAGGGTCACACTTTTATTTTCTAGATGTTTGTTTATAAACCCTGCCTGGTTTATTATATTCCATTGAACTGGTAAAACCAGTTGGAATAGCTTTTGGTAATCATAGTGCGAAAGATTGGCTTTGTAATCCTATCCCAGTCTTCCTCATCTGAGTAAATGGCACCACTGTTCACTCAGTTGCTTATGCCAAAGAATGAAGAGTTGTCTTTATTCTTTCTTCATTCACACTCCAAATATTCATCTCATCCACAAAGTATTGTCAATTCTATATTTCAAATAAAGTTTCTATTTTTCCATTTCAGTATGTTCTGGGTCTAAACCACCACTATCTTTTGTTTTTGGAATGTAATAGTCACATACTAATTGGTTATGTATCTTTGTTCTAAGATCCATTTTTATAGCTTTATTAATGTAACATTGGTGTATAATAAACTGAGTTTATTTAAATTTGGCAAGTTTTTTCTTTTTAAAATCAGTGTATTGGGGGCTCTTAAGGCTCTTATAACAGTCCATACATCACTTGTATTAAGCATATTTGTACACATGTTGCCATCATCATTTTCTAGACATTTACTCTCTATTTGAGCCTTTGGTATCAGCTCCACTTTTACCTCTCCTCCCACCCTCCCACTCTTGTGACCATTGATAAATTATAAATTATTATTATTTTCATATCTTACACTGACCACTGTCTCCCTTCACCCACATTTCTGTTGTTTGTCCCCCTGGGGGACATGTTATGGGTCCCATCATGGGGATCAGTCCCCTCTTTCTCCCCTTCTTCCCCAACCTTCCCTCTACTCTCCTGATATCTCTACTCTCATTTCTATTCCTGAGCGGTTTATTCCACCTGGATTCTGTATGTTGCGAGCCCTTATCTGTACCAGTGTATATGCTCCAGTCTAGCCAGAACTGAAAGTTATGACAGAGGAATATTGTGTGTTTCATTGGTCTATACCCTTGACTCATCCCTTGTGACCCTTCTGTGAGGGAATGTCCTATTGTCTACAGATGGGTTTTGCATCTCTTGTTGGTTGCTGGCCAGATAGTTGCAGGTTGGCACTGTGTATGCCGATCAGGGAGGAGCTGCAGTGGTTTGGTGGAGGCCTGGGTGGTGGGGATGGGAGGGTGGGTGGATTGAGGCAAACAGGTTTGGTCCAGGAAGGGTGATGGTGTAGCTGCCTGTGTAGGGGTGGCCTGGTGGTTGGTCTAACCAGTTTTTGGCCTGGGCTGTGGCTTTCAGCTCCAGTTGGGTTTTACTGTTTTGTTATGTTAAAGCTCTGTGGGCTATGCTCAGGGAATCTATTTGCTGTTTTGTTATGTTAAAGCTGTGTTAATAGACCAGGCTTCTGTTACACAAGGAACACAACCTTGAATTGAAAGTGTTTTTTAAGTTTCTTTAAAAAATTTTAAAAATAATGGCCCTGTAGATTGCCAGTGTATCAGGGCTGTGCTGTGCTAGCCCCCAGGGAAAGAGGACCAGATTAATAGACCAGGTTTGGGGTCCAATGGGTCTGAATTGGCCCGGTTATCCTCCTGCACAGCTCCAAGGTTGTGCTTCAGGGATCTGAGCTCTACCATGGGTGAATATTCTAGGGCTCTCCAATTGCAGCACATTAGTGTCTAAATATTTGTTGTTACTCAAGCTTGCAGGCAGGAAGCTGAGCAGAAAAGGGATGGCCAATGCAGTCACTCTGTTCCTTGCTGGAGAGAGGAAAAGCAAAGCTCTCAAATGCAGGAACAAAGGGAGGGTTGCAGAGAGGAGACCTGAGCCCTTGTGGTTAGTTCTCAGATCTGCTCCATGAGCCTGAGATTATGCTCACTTTAGATAGGAGTCTGGAATAACTACTGCACACTGTGGGTCTTGCATCTTGGGCGCAGAAAGGGGTGGTGGCTGCTGTCCTGCTGGACCTGGGGAGGGATTAGGAGAGCCTGCAGGCAGATGCAGTGAATTTAGAGTTTTTCAGTGAGCCCTAGAATTGCTCTATTGTTATCACAGGGAAAGTTCTGATCCACAGACCTTCGTACACTTGAACTCTGTTTCTGGGACCCTGCCCCCAACTATGGGCTTCCCTCCCTCTTAATTTTCCGATTCATCAGCAGGAGCACCAGGCAGGTGATTCTACCTGGACATAATCTTGGAACAAACTGTTAGATCTCTGAAGCTAGATCCATACCTCGCTCCGTGGCTCCACGCGAGAAAGAATTCACGCCGGAGCCTGGCTCGTGATCCAAGTGAGTTTTATGAGAGTTAGAAGAAGTTTCAGGTTCACACGGCACCCAAAGGGCTCCTCTTGGTCATGCGGCCTGGCTGGAAACGGCATGGCATCCCGCAAAAGTGTCCCAAAGTTCCTCCAAAGCTCTCCCAGAGCTCCCCCGAAGTTCCCAGAGTTCTGCTGCTAAAGGTCTCTCTCTCGACTCAGGGGCTTCTGCCTTTTCAAGGATTCCCCAGGAGGCGTGGTGGAAGACCCCTCATCGACCCCATTGGCTGAGTTGAATTCACCTGGCCTAGGTGGGCCAATTCAGGTTCACGCCCACCCCTGCCTACCGGCAGGAGCCCTAAACCTCTGAGCATGTGCAGTGCACCACTCCTATGTTCCCCTAGCTTGGCCCTCTGTTCACGCATTAACGGACATTCCCAGCTCTAGCTAACCTACCTAACAGAACTCCCAAAGTGACTTCTTGACTGCTACTTCTGTGAGCACTGATCGTGGATCCAAGTAAGATGAAACTTTGATAATGTCAATCTTTTCTTCATTGATCATGACATTACCTATTGAGAGAATTTGTGAGAATTTCTGTGTTATTTACGTTGAGTTGTAAGTTACTTTGAAGGTTGCAATACTTGATCATCAGCAAGTTCTCATTTTCAGCAAGCAAAGTTGTGGGTGTCCTCTGCATATCGAAGGTTGCTTTCCTCTAATATGGCAGTCTATGATACGTTCAGTATTCTTTACCAGTAAGCCTTTTTCCAATCCCGATACCATTTTCTGCTTCTTGGTTTGTTTGCTTAGCATACAGTTTGAATAAGTATGATGCTAGCACACAACTCTGACATACATCTTTCCTAATTTAAACTATGAAGCATTTTTTTTTTTCTATTTGAGCCACTTGCCTTTTGGTCCATGTACAGCTTCTACATGAGCACTTGTGCTCAGTGCTTTCCATACTTGGTTATAGTCTACCTTGTCAAATGCCTTTGCAAAACCAGTGGCAGGAGAGAGTATGTAATGTTACTTAGTTTCGTTGCCTTTAACGCTCATGCTCCTTTTTGTGCCTTCTTTTGCCTTTATAATTTTGTGTTGACCCCTTATTACTGTTTCCTTCTCTGTATCTCATAATACCTGCCATTTTGTGATTGGCTAATTTTACTCAGTGTAATTTCTTTAGATTATTTTATGAAGTGTTTCACAGATCCATCATTAATCTTTAATGTTGCTTAGCATTCCACTGTGAGTCTGTACCATAGTTTATTCATTCATCTGTTGATGGACACGGGCTACTTCCATCTTTCTGTATTATGTATAATGCTGTGAAGAACATGGGTGTGCTTATCTATTTGTGCCATGGATCTTACTTTTCTAGGTAAATACCAAGTGGATTATTTGATCATATATTTCTATTTCCATTTTTTTAGGGAAATGCCACACCATTTCCACAGTGGTTGTACTATTTTATATCAGCAGTATAAGGGTTTCTCCACATGCATGAGATGATGTCTCCTTGTTTTCCTGATTTCCTTTTTAGAGCTCTCTTTGTTATTGTAATGGATGCAAATTGTTTTTGTATTTCAATGTGTGAGTTAGTTTATTGTGCCAACCTGGCCGATAAACACATGTGGGATTAATTGAAGGGCGGAGGGATAAATCGCTTGGTGATCCTCGCCTTTCTAGTTCTCTGTTCTCTTGCTTTGTGATGGTTGTGCTAGGGCAGCTGCCTTAGCAGTTCCCTGCTTCAGCTGGCAAGACTGACTTCCTGCAAGACATCCCCAAGGAGAAGCCACATGGACCTACCCCGATGCAGCCCTGGGTGCTGGAGCAGCTGTGTGGAGACCCCTGCCAGTGCTGAGATGCTTACACATTCACTGACTCAGCTTTCCTCCTGCAGTTGGCATCATTATGTCTGCTTTGTGAGATGGAAGAGGACTTTGTGGACTGGCGTCGGACATATGGGTTAATGTTGGACTTGTGGGCTTGGGCAGCGCTGGGTTGGGATGTTTTCTTGATGCACACTTACCCTTTATATAAAAGTCTCTCTTACACATGCGTTTCTGTGGATTTGTTTCTCTAAAGTACCCAGACTAATACAACGTGGTACCTTGTCACTTTGCTTCTATTAGTTCAGTAGAATCCTCATTGAGTGTCTGAAATTATCTATACATTATATCATCTTTAGGGATAGTTTTACTTCTTCTTCATTTCCAATTTGATACTTTTTCTTTTTTGCCTTATTGCTCTGATGAGGATATTTAATACAATACTTAAAATAGGGCTGTTGATAAATGACTTCCTTCTCTAGTTCCCATTCCAATCTCTCTCCTTGATAGTAGACCTTTTATTGGTCACAAGAACTGTCATTAATCTTTTTATCTCATACATATAGTGTCTAGACCATTGACCATTCATTGAATGCTTGATAGTTTAGAAGCATAAAATTGGCTAATTGGTCAGAATTTTAGAATTTTTATCTTTTCTTTCTAAATTGTTGTGGTACTTCCCACCATTGAAACAGCCCATCTCACACCAAATAAATTATAGATTGCCACTTGAAGTAAAGTCAAGAATACCTTAATGTTGATTTACTTAATTTCATACCTTTGATTATTGTTTTCAGATTGAACTTAATAGAATTATCATTTTTATATAAGAAGGGACTTACAAGGAACATAGCTGAACTTTTTCAAATGATTCACATAATCTCTTTGCTTTATTACTTATATATGTATTTCTGCTTATATTGCTCTTGAGAATTTCCGAATCATGTTGAGAAATGTGATATAATGCTTTCATGGCTATTTGATGTTTTAAACTGGTGGTAACTTTCTCTGCTTAATCTTAAAATATTTTCTTGTCTTAAATGGAACAGCAGTGACATACAGTGGTTGTCTATGTACTAGATCTTATAAGTTGGTCATGTTTCATTTTTTAGTAATACAGTAAATAGAACAATACAATACCATTTATATTGAAGTACTAAACTGAGTTTCGATTGTTTTTAAACTAAGTAGGGCATTAGAATAGCATATTAGATTGCGTAGGTATGTGTTGGCAGCTACTCATTATATCTCTAAGACTTTAACTTTAAGTGTTTCTGACTGGAAAACTCTATGCTTTTCTTGCTAAATATTTTTTTATTTGTCACAAAGGTCAGGAGATGGATATTTTCATATTGAAAGACCTATAATTATGGATGAAGATTCTGGAAGCATGAATGAAAGAAGAGAGTCAGACTTCATTACTGAAAAACAAACAGGGAAGCCTTTTTTTGGAGAAAATAGAGAAAGAGTTTTAAATTGTCTTAAAGATGTGAACCAGCTAACCCCTAGTATTGTATCAGAGAATTGTGACTCTTTCATTAGTCAAAATATGAGAAATGTATTAAATTTAGATAAACAGCAGATGAAAGAAAACATTAGCAGTATGAGAGATGTCTGTACAGTTTCTAGTTCTAGTGGAAATGATTCCACTAATAGATACATTCGGAGTATTTGTACAGTTCCAGAGTTGACTTTCAGCAGTTCCCCTTGTAATAGAACATATTATCCTGAGAAGTGTCAGCCAAACAAGAGCTGTCAAAAAGAATCCAACAATAGTGAACGAAATTATTTTAGTACATCTTTTGAGAAGCATTTTTGTCCAGCCAGCTCTGAAAAAACAGGTTGGTGTCATACGTGGACAATATAGAGCCCTATTATATGCAAATAACACTTATTAATCTGGTTTTTGCTAACTTCTAAACCCTCTTGTTCGTTTGTCACCTATGTGTGCTATTTATGCTATATGCATGTTATATATATATGTGCATGTCGTATGGGAAAATATCACCTTTTTACTCCAGTTTTAATATTATGTATATACTGTTTTTTTAAGACAAAATTTCATTTGTCATTAGAAATATTTCACAGTATATAATTACATATTTATTTTTCAATCATTTTATTGGGGGCTCGAACAACTTTTTAAAAAAAATTATTTTATTGGGGGCTCATACAACTCATCACAATCCATACATACATCCATTGTGTCAAGCACATTTGTACATTTGTTGCCATCATCATTCTCAAAACATTTGCTTTCTGCTTCAGCCTTTGGTATCAGCTTTTCCTTTTTTTCCCTCCCCCTCCCTCCCCGCTCTCCCTTCCCCCATGAACCCCTGATAATTTATAAGTTATGATTATTTTGTCATACCTTACACTGTCTGTATGTATGGGGACTATATGATAAAATAGATCAGTGATTTTTCTATGTCCATTTGCTAATAAGCTTCAAATGAAAAAATAGAAATAGACTGGTAAGTTTTGACATTAATGCACATTTTTATTTTAAAGGAAAATTTGAAAATTACCAAGAGAACTTACCAGAGAAAATCCAGAAATATCCAAGGACTAATATGTAAGTTCTTAGGTAAATCTGGGTAATTCAAATCAGTATTTAGTATAATGCAAATTGAGGAAGAGATGTTACTTTTTGGGGTGTGGACTTACTAACTTCATTGAAGCCACGTTATCATGATGTTTGTGATATTGCACTTTATAGTATTCATATTTTCCAGAAATGCCTTCCTTCTTATGCTAACCTGAGGTTGATTAAATTTGAGAAAATCAATTGATGCGTTTAAGAAACTTCCATATCCATCAGAAACTCAGTGCTACAGTAAGAAGTAGAAAGATCACACATATAGGAATATTTATTGGAGAGAGAAGTACATTTTCTTACTTTTAGAAGCTTCCATGTTTGGTTAGCACAGAATCAGAATAAAGGGAAGCTATAATTCAAATGTTAATGTGATAAGCAGTCATATGAATCATTTATGATATAGAACCCTCACTTCAATGTCAATATTTGTTTTCAGAGACTCTACGTTTTCTTTGATTGAGGGTTACCATTTTTGCCACTCTAGTACTGATACTTTCTCTTCTTCCCCTATAAAAACAATGAGACCCCCTCACGTTTTTTTTCCTCTTATCATTGCTGACACACAAAGTGTGCTGTTTAATCTTATCTATAATGGGCTCATTAAAAATAAACATGTTTCTAAAGAGTTTGGGAGTCTTATTGATTCTTGTATATAGTCATTTTCAATTCATAGATAATAAAAGTTTATTTTAGCTAGTAGTTCCAGATGAATGTAAACTTTTTGAATGGATAGTAATGCTGGTTTAGCTAGTGTTAGTGAATGAAGAACTAAATCATGAACTGGAGTAGATTTTCATTTTGGAAGGACATTTTATGGAGGTTTTAAAATATATATACATTTTTAAAAAAGATTATATGCACTTGGCACATACAAATGGATTAAATTTAGATTCACACATTATTTTATAAAATTAACAAATTATGCTCTTTAATTGTGAAATCTCTGAAGGTCCAGAAGTTCTTAAGTGAAAAACAGAGTAAGAGACATCAAGTTTGTAAATGTGTTTTATGAAACGGATGTAGAACATGGTCTCCAAATCTGGGTACAGATCTAGTTTAGTTAGGAGGGTAATTTCAAAATATAGAACGCTGAGTCTGACCCACATTTACCACATAGGCTTCTTAGAATGGCTTTTATCAATATATTAATACAATTAATACACTAATTTTGATAAATTATACATTTATTTTTTATAAATGTAAAATCTCATAATTTTGATCTGCAGCCAAGTGTGGAAGCTATAATTCAGAATAATACTTTTCAGAGTGACGGCAAATGTGCATATGATTTTATTTATGATCTTTAGAGGTAAAATCCCTTTGGAAGAACCAGATTCTGAAAACTCATGGGACATTGGACCTGACGAGGTAAACTACACGTTATCACATTGTTCTTTATAATGAAATGTTTATTTGAAAACATTATTTTTATGCTGACTTCTACATTTTTTGTATTTTCTTCCTCTAGCCACAAGGTCAGCAGTTCCAACCCACGAGCCGTGCAGTGGGAGAAAAGGTCAGGCTTCTGCTCATGTTAAGATTTATAGTCTTAAAAATCCAAAGGGACAGTGCTATTATGCCTTATATGTTTTCTATTAGTCAGAATCAACTGATGGCAGTGAATGGGTGGTAAATCTGGGGAGTAAATTAAATATTTTAATAAGTATATACAATATTTCTTCTAAATGAAAACACTTGAGGTTTCAGTGTGCCAATAATGGGCATAGTTATGAATCTGAAATATTGGAATGTCTATAAATATTTTTCCTGTTTATAATAAGGGTGTATGGCTTCGGGCATTATGTATGTTGATTAACAAAAGAGTTTTATCATATAGCATTTGGCCACCAGCTACTCCAAGGGGAAAAGATCCAACTTTGTACTCCTGACAAGAGTCACAGTCTTGGAAATTCACAGGGGCAATCCTACCCTGTCCTGTAGGGTCGCTATGAGTTGGCCTCGATTTGGTTTGGTTTGGGGTTTGGTCTTAACTGACAGTGTTTGCACTTTGCAAATTATTTTCTCTTTTTAGCTTTAATACAATGCCTGGATTACATTTAATAATTTATTTAGTAGAATGTAATGAATGTCTCATATATACAAGGCATTAGACATTAGCAATACCGTGGAGGTAAAAGCAATTTTTGTTCTCATTAGGCTTATAAGCTGTGCACCATATTCTGTCAGATAGATAAAAACATATGGAACCAGTCTTTAAGAAGCTATAATCTGGTAGCTGGACAGAACCAGGAAAAAAATAGAATGCTTTAAGATAAATTGCTCCTCTTGGGGTTTTTTACAAAGTACAGTGGCAGCCTATTAAGACATTTCTAAGTGCCATAGGTAGTCAAAGAAAAGTTCATAAAGCAGTAACTATTGATATGATTATATTTTGACAAGTTTACCAGATGGACAAACTGCCTGAGGAAAATAAGCATTGGTAGAAACTAAAATATGAGGAAGTAAATATAATTTTAGGAATTTAGTAAGCACCTTACATCTTTGTTTTCATTATTATTACATAAATTATAAGGGACAGGGGAGTGGTCAGGAACAATTCTGAACAACACAAAGGATCATGTTATAAATGGTTTTGTTATACTGAATGGTATACTGAAATTTAGTTTCACTAATCAGACATTGAAGTGAAGACATTTTAGCCAGGGAGTATGATGCTGTTAGAGTATTAAAATGTTGACTTTGATAGCAATAAGGCAAATCTGAGAAGCAGCAAGACAAAGCCAGAAGTAATAAGAACTTGAAATTGAGCAGTGGCAATAGGGGTAGAAATGAGGAAAGAGTTATCCAAAGGTTTAGGAAATCTAGGTTTGTGAGGACTCTGTGATTTTTGACTAGTTAAAGGATAACAAACACTTGGATTTATGACTTGGATAAGTGAGTTATTGTTAGAACGGTAATGGTTAGTTGTACCCTCTTTTACAGAATAAAGATGTCATGGAGAAAGAGACTCGGTTCCTAATTTCTAATCCACCTAGATGTGCTCAGGTAGACAGATCTTACTAATGGAATGTGAGTCGAAGGGATGGGCATAATTTTCAGTCAATTCTTTTAAGAAGTGGTAATGTCTTCTTTTCTGATGGACAGATGGTAAAGCCACAAGGTGAAAAGTCCTGGGTTTCTAAATCACTAAATGGGCGAAAATTGCCTGCTGACCAGGAACATCTGCTTTTAACTCTCACATGAGAGATAGATAATTGTGCTTGAATATTATGTATTTTATGGTCAATTTTTAACAGAATCATATATAGCATTACTTAATTCAGAAAGGAACACATTTCTATGGGAATATGGAAGAGTGATTTGTTGAGGTCATTTGAGAGTCTTCTGAGGAAGCTATGATCTACTTGGGAATGCGTCCTTGACATTTAAATAGATAGGACTAGATCTAAAAAGAGATATTTAGTCTCTAGTAGATAGCTCACAGTTGAATACATTTGTGTATATTATTCCCAAGAGAAAATGTATAAAATAACAACAAAAGTTGACAGACTCTCCAGAAACAACACTATTTAAGTTTGGAGGATGTGCAGGGAAAAATAATCCAGAAGAGAAAATCTAAAATAAGCCGGTGGAAAGGTATGAAGAAGGCCAGAAGAGAGGTTGCTCGGGTTGGAATTGACTTGATGGTGGCGAGTAAGAAGAGTAGCATTAAGAAAGTAGAGACTGTGAAGGGGGTACATTTGCTCAGCAATATTGCTGCTATTACTACTTTGAGGAACTCAGAGTTTCTTAAAATATGAAAAATATATATTTCACTACAAAGGAATTAAAAGGCTTAACAAACAGGCTTTGTTTGACCACATCTATGTCTAGGAAGCTGGCAGCTTTAATGTGGCTAGAGCAAGTCAGAAAGAAAACAAACTCATTGGTGGACCCTGAAGGGGATCAAGTGATGCTGTGTTAGATTGTGTGGACCAGAGAAGCAAGTCCAGTGACACTCAGGAATGTATGAGCAAAGAGCTTTATAGAGAAGAGCAATGGTATTAGTAGGTCTCCCTCCAAAACACCCACACTCTCCCCCCACCCCCCGCCAAAGCTATATATTTGTTTCTTACTGAACAACCTTATTAGCTTCAATGTCCTCTCCATTACACTTAATATATTTGTCAAATCTGTGATTTGTTCTGAGCGACATTTTCGAATGCTCAATTTATTCACTACAAGCACACATAAAACAGTCTAATAATCCTAATGTTCACTCAAAATACAATATCATTTCAAACAAATATCAGTTATAGGGGCAACCCACTACAGTATTACTTCCGCATCATAGGCCCAATAAGCATTGCCTTCATTGATGTACTCACCTGGGTAGATGTGGAGAGAGCAGGAGTTGATGTCTCCTTGGTTCCTAGATCTCTGAAAAGTCAGTGTCTGGGTTTATATAGGCAGGGCAGCTGGTTTCTTGATGTCACTCTGGTCTTACTGGCATCCTCCAGACTTTCTGGGGTGGCTCTTTGGACCATCTGTTGATTTTTGGCAGTGGTCCAACATCTGAGTTGGGCCTAAATATCAGACTTTCATTTCTTTTCCAACATGGAGTTTCTTGTGTTTACATCTTGTTAGGCAGTTCAACGTCTTGTAAGGTAGTTGTATAATGCTCTCACCATGGTTCCATTCTTGGAGACATTTTTCAAACTCATCTGGATGGCTGAAAGGACCTCCCTTGTTTTTTTTTTTCTTCACCTATTCCAAGTTGTCAAATCGCTGTCCTTTTCCCTCTTCATTCATGGAAACAAAAAGTTGCATGGAGCGAGGTCAGGTGAATGAGGGGTGTGGGAAGAAGAGAAGCATGCTGTTTTTTGCCAAAAACTGGTGCACTGAGATGGCTACATGAGTGGGTGCATTGTCATCATGCAAAAACCAGTCCCCTGTCTGCCACAAATCAGGCCTCTTTTGTCGCACACTGTTATGCAATCTTTTCAGGATCTCTAAATAGAAAGCATGATTAACAGTCTGACCTGGTGGAATGAACTCCAGCTGCCCATGAGTTGACATTTTTGTCCATTTGGGAATTAGAAGGATGTTCAGAATGAGGTTTGTGATCAATCAACATTTCACCATTTTTAAAACTAGAAAACCACTCCTACACTTGAGTTTTTCTCATAAGCTGTCCTTGTAAGCTGTGTTCAACATCATAACAGTTTCTGTGGCACTTTTCCTGAGCAGGAAAAAAAATTTCACAGCTACACACTGTTCTCTGAAATCAGCCATAACAAAAAAATGAGATTCGAATAAAACTGCCTTTACAAAAAAAATTCACTGTGACCAGAGTGAACTTCCCAGGCAATACCACTGAGTGCACTAACTCAGAGTGAGTTGCCCATTGCTCATCTTGCAGGGAAAAATAATGTACTACGAAAGCTCTGCTATGTGCAATTCCATTTTTTGGGAGGTACCCCCTCATATATTGAGAAAACACCCCAGTCCAGGCTAGATCAAGTCCATAAGTCTGATATTAGCCCATATGTCCGTTACTAGGCCACACATTCCTCTTCAGACTCAGGTTGCCACTTGCAATGATGCTGAATGGAGGAAGATCACAGGCCAGTGGGTGGAAAGTCATGAATCAGTGGCTGTGGAAGCGACACGGCTGTCTTCACAGGTCTCCACCACATGACTTGCTCAGGTTTCAGTGTAACTCCTCATGGCTTATCCACAGGAAGATGAAGGCAGAGAAAGTGTGTGATCTGCCTCCAGGAAGAAAGGATTCTGCCTCCCAGAATCCTCATGAGAAGGCCATGCCCCCAAGGAGGCATCATCAGGCTGTGACCTGATTGACAAGCTGGACTTGACCCCTTCGCTCTTAATATCCTCAAGTTGACACAAGATTATGTACCTACCACAGATGTGATGAGTTCTCTGGGCTGGACTAGTGTGGTACTTTTAATTCATGATTCTAAGCCAGAACTAAAGGTACACTAGAACCCTACATAAAATCTTAGATTTTGTCAATGCCAAGCGGCTGCATTGTATGGGGAGGTTCGTAAGGAAAATCCAGCATGCACAGAAGGTAGGGGTAGATTAAAGAGAATGGCGGACCTCTCCAGCTTGAGTAATTGGCCACAGACTTATGGGAATCCTGCCAGAGGATATTGGCAGAATTCTGCTCTTCCAGTTCTTCTGTAACCTGTGTGGTGTTTCTTTACACTCCCTGGTTTATAGACTACCCCCACGTGGTCTCTGCCTCTGGTGTGTGGCTGTGTGTATTTCTTTTGTTTTTTAATAAGTCATCATTGAGAAGGGATCAGGTTTAGGTTCCATACCCTCATTAACAAAAGTTTTATTCTCATACAAAGTCATATTCACAGGAATGGGGGTTAGTGCTTCAACATATCTTTTGGAGGGAACATAATTCAGTCCATAGTAGGGTGATTCAGAACCACATTCTCGAATCAGAATTTAATAAAATTAGGATCCACCAAAAAACAATCCTTAATCTTCAACTTCATGGTAAAAAACACTCTTAAAAAAAAGAGAAAAAATTAAAATAAATTGAGATTTATAGAAAGTGATGAATACCAAAATCAATGATGTTTTACTGAAAATGTATATCTTTAAAAGATTATATAACAAAACAAAACATGGAAAACTGAGGAAGTAAACTGATGCACATTTCAGAAATCATATAAAGACTGACAAAATAAATAAATCCTCAAATTGCCTGCCTATTCCAACTGTAACTAAGGTGATTATCTGAATTTTCCATTTTTGTCTATAATTGATGTCTCTACAGTGTCTATTCTGTGGATTGCTCTTTATAAGCCAATTTAAATTTAACTTAATTTAATGTTTGAAACAGGATAATTTTCTTCATGCAAGAAAATCTTTGTTGTAAAGTATTGTAATAGAAGAACACATGGCATGAATTGGTACAATTTCAAAATAGCGTTTCTGACTTTTTTTGAATAAGAGCATTGAAATAGGACGGATATAAGAGCACACTTGAAAATTGTTAAATTGTTTATTTTCTTCTAGATTCTGGAAGAAAGAGGAATGTTTTCTTTAGAAGGGAGGCCGATACCTACTAAGAAAATCTGTCAGTATATAACTGTATAAATCAATTTTATTATTTCTAAAAGTTGTAACTTAAATAAAAATCAGTTAAATTTTAAATAGTTTTAGCTCTTAGTGAGAAAAAATATATATTAGACTATACTAGTAGTTGCAGTTTACCCTTTAAAATTACTTTTGTTTGTAAATATATTACATGTGATGAGTATTCAAGGCATATATGCACAATTAGTAAAGAATGACAATGCACATATCTTTAAACTCATATAGTGTATGAAATAATACATAATCAGTATCTTTGATGGTTTCTTTTACTGCATTTCCTATTATACTCCTAGGGGTAACTATTAACCTGTACAATTTGTTTCACACATGAATTTTTTTTTAATTCCGAGAATTTGAACTTTATGTAAACCAAGGAGGCAAACTGCTTATGCAGTTAAGCATGCAACTTAGGTACATAAAAAGGCAGATCTTGTGATCTGCTTCTGAAAGAAAAATCCTATGGAGGACAGTTCTATTTTGGCATACATGGCATCATCATGAGTTAGAATGCTCTCACTTAGCAACAGCAGCAAACATTTGGCAATGCTGCTAAAATAGGGCTTTTATAATATAGCCTCAGCCATAGCGATTGTGGTGAAACTATGGATTTTCTTGAATCTAGTATTGATAGGGAGGCTTAGGTGGTACAAATGGTTTGCCCTTGACTACTGTTCACCAAGTTTGGCAGTTCAAACATACCCAGAGGTGCTTAGAAAAACAAGACTGCTGATGGGCTTTGGGTCTCCACTCTGCTCTCCCCCTCATTCCCATTGATATGCTTTTTGTTTGTTTTGTTTTGGGTCTTTGATGCCTGATACCTGATCCCATGGACACCTCATGATCATTCAGGCTGGTGTGCTTTTTCTTGTGAGCTTTGATGATTCTCAGCTAGATGACCACTTGTTTATCTTCAAGCCTTTAAGACCCCAGATGCTAAATCTTTTGATAGCCAGCACCATCAGCTTTCTTCACCACATCTGCTTATGCACCCATTTTGTCTTCAGTGATCGTGTCAGGGAAGGTGAACATCACAGAGTGCCATATTAGTAGAAAAGATTGTTTTTGCATTGAGGGCGTACTTGAGTGGAGGCCCAATGTCCGTCTGCTGCCGTAATACTTTATAATTAAATATATGTACATAGCTCTATCCCCCTGTCGTATAAAAATTATTTACATATAGACATGCCTATGTTTGGACCTCTATAACTGTCCTATGCCTCCCAGTTCTTTCCTCTATTTCCTTTTACTTTCCTCCTGTCCCACTATCATTTTCGGCCTTCATTCAGGTTTTGGTAATTCTTTTTGGCTACATTGCCCTTAAGCCCCCCAATAAGGGGAGCAGTGATGCTAGGAGGGTAAGGGTAGATAGGGGGCTTGAAGGGGGAACAGATCACAATGATTGACGTATGGTCCCCATCCCAGGGAGACGGACAGCAGTTGGTGTGTAAAACATGAAAAGAAAGATAAGGAATAATTTATAAATTATTAAGGGGACATGGGGGAGGGAGGGAGGGAGGGAGACAAGTGAGGAGCTGATGCCAGGGGCTTAAGTAGAAATAAAATGTTTCAAAAAGATGACAACATGTATAAAGATGTGTTTGACAAAATGGATGTATGTATGGATTGTGATAGAGATGTAAGAGCTTCCAATAAAATAAAATAAAAATTTTTTAAAAAAGAAAGAAAGAAAAACAAGCCTGACACTGCTTCCAATCTTAGGGAGCATTTCTCCCCTGCACATTCTTCCCGTGAGCTAGAACCATGTGGCTGGATAGTGACTGCCAACAACTGTGAAGAGAGCACTGGTCTGGGAGGTGTTTCATTCTGTTGTATGTAGGGTCCCTATGAATTGAAATGAACACGGCAGCACCCAACAACAACAGTATATATAGCTGATAGATAAATATAGACGTTTTAATTTGTTCTCTTTCTTTTCCATGTTCAGTAGCCACTGACATTTCTTTTTCTATTAAATCTATTTGTCTTTTGACTCATTATGTTTTGGTTTTTATTCTTAATCTTTAAATGTTTTTTATATTTAAAGAGATTTCAGTCTTTATGATGGAAGTCACATATATTTTCTTCTAGTTTATCATTTAATTTGGTTTTCATTTTGTTTATAGTGGAGCTCTGGTGGAGTAGTAGGTTCAAAGGCAGTGAATCTCATAATTTCCTTAGCTTTGCAAGCAACTTCACAGTTTTTTCTTACATAGTTAAAATTATTAATAATTTCTTTATTATTACTAGACTTAATTAGAAAAAGTATTCACACTCCAGTGTTACAAATTAATTTACCCATACTTTCTAATGTTAGTGTGATTAAAATTTCTTTCACATTTAAATCTTCAGTCAACTAAAAGTTTGTCCTGATAATAGGTGTTGAGGTGTATATGGATTCATGTTGTAAACCTGGATTTTTTTCCTCTGAGTGTTTCTGGTGCCACCTTTAGTCTATACTAGTTTTCCATGTATATCTGAGTCTACTTTTAGATTTTAATTAATGTCTTATTTGGGTTTGTAATATTCTTGTGTTTTGTAATGTACATACTAATTTTATTTTTATGATCATTTAGTATGCTTCATATGTGGAAAAATTGTACCTCCTTTTGCACTTTTAAAATATGGGTTTTCTGACTATTGTTGACTGCTATTTTTTAAAAAGAAATTTGAAATGAATTTATCTAACTCAAAGGACTTCGTTTTATTAGAAAATTGTTAACATGCACTTGTTAATTTATTGTGAATTGTCATTCTTTTTAAAAAAAATCATTTTATTGAGGCCTCTTACAATTATAACACCCCATACATCAATTGTCATACATACATTAAACATTTTTCATACATACATCATGTCATTCTTTTTTTTTAAATCATTTTATTAGGGGCTCATACAACTCTTATCACAATCCATACACACATCAATTGTGTAAAGCACATTTGTACATTCATTGCCCTCATCATTCTCAAAACATTTCCTTTCCACTTAAGCCCCCGGCATTAGGTCCTCATTTTTCCCCTCCCTCCCCGCTCTGCCCTCCCTCATGAGCCCTTGATAGTTTATAAATTATTATTTTGTCATATCTTGCCCTGTCCGACGTCTCCTTTCACCCACTTTTCTGTTGTCTGTCCCTCAGGGAGGAGGTCACATACAGTTCCTTGTAATCGGTTCCCTCTTTCCTACCCACTCTCCCTCTACCCTCCCTATATCGCCACTCACACCACACTGGTTAAGATGGTGTCAGGTCCTATCTAAAACCAAGAAATATCTTTCCACTAGATCAACTTCTCATGAATTGTCTAAAATACCATCAAACAACTAGGAAGTTTCCTTTTGAGGGTACACTACCCTCCTAGGGGGCCAGAGTCTGTGCACCTGAGGGCATAGATCCTGTCTATGAAGAACGGCACCACAGAAAGGCTCCTGCAAAGCACTGCCACGTAGAAAGACTGGCTTAGATTGTCCACACTGCAAGTTTTGAAGAGAATCCTTTTATGTTAAGATTCCTATTTTTGTAATGTTAGCAATGAGTTCTTTTTGATCAATCTTTGATCACTTATACCCAGGCTGCTAATCTACAGGACGTTAAAAATGTGTTCTTTAATCGTTATTTTCTAATATTATTGATCCCTAATCCATATCTCATACAAGTCAACTACTTACTAATTTAACAACTGCTATAATTTTTCATTCCCCTAGAAAAAGCTCCTTGTTTAACCAGAGCTTCACCAAGATTCCTTTTTATCTGTTACTTACTGTGTTATATATTTTTTCTCTTGGACATCTAATAGTTTAGTCTTTTATTTGAGTGGATTTGAACTTTTCCTTTAATAGTTTTCTTGGGCTCTTTTAGCTTTCATTTTATACTTTCTTTGTCCATTAAATAACTGCTGAAGTTCTTATGTATATTTTGTGTTTGCTGAATTAATTCTTATTTTGAGACTTTTAGTTTGTTTGTTTTGTTGGCTGAATTTTATTTAGCTTATTTTTGGTTTGTTTCCCTCTGTCAGGATACTCTTTTTTCTCATTTTATGACCCCACCCCCATTTTTAGTAACTTTATATGGTTATTGGTTATTATTTTATTGCTATTGCTTTTGTTCATCTTGATTGGTACTGGACTAGCAGTAGCAGGATCTTATGGGGAAGAAAGGGGTGAGTGTTCTTAGTTCAGACATTGAGTCATGTTGTTTTTTAAAAGAATGTGCTCCTGCTCGCACTCCTCTTCTTTCCCCTCCTCTTCTCCCTCTTCCTCTCGCTCGCATTTGCTGATTTCTCTTTGCTGTCGTCCTTCAGTAGGGGCTTTATCTTCTATTGATTTCTTTCCCCCTTACCATCCACATATTCAGGAAATGCCTCTGGCTTTCAAAATGCCTCTGTCTCTTCTGGAAGAAGTGTGATTTTTAAGCCCCTTCCTTGATTGCTCTGCTTGCCCTGATATTCAGCAGAGACTTCTGCTCTGTGGTCATTGTGGCTCATTCAGAGCAGACCCCTCTTCTGTAGGGGCTAGTTTGTCCTATGTGCCCTCACTTAATTTAGATTATTTCCACCACCTAAAGAACAGAGTCTCCATTGGATTCAGTTCTGTGAATCCCAGAGCTGGGTCTGCTGATCTAAGGTATTAAATTCACTTTTATATGGATTGAAACTATAGTTATACTGTGGGCCTTTCCTCTGATTGATAGTTTTAGGAGAAGTTATGGAGATACTTTATCTTATGAGAACTCATTATTTATATCTTGTAAAAAAATATTCATTTAAACCAATGGCATTCATTTCTTTCCATGCTTACAATAGATATTAGTTCTTAGGGGTGAAACCTGGAAATTCAGCAGTGGTGCTCATTGACCAGAGATAATCAACAACAACAAGAACAATGAAAAAGTTCATTTTTTCTGTTGTAGGCCGATTGTAGAATTTTAAAATTCAAAATGTTGTTATTAGTTGCTGTCTAGTTAGCCCTCGATTCATGGCAACCATGAACAGAGCAAAACACTTCCTGGTTATTTGCCAATGTGGTGATTGGTTGAAGATCACACCGCTGTGATCCATAGGGTTTTTATTGGCTGATTTTGGAAGTAGTTCACCAGTCAGTCTTAGTGTGGAAGCTCTGCTGAAATCTATGTAGCAATCACAGCAACATGCAACCTCCCCTGACAGAAGGTTGTGGTGTCTGTGCATGAGGTGCATTGGCCTGGAATTGTGTCTGAGTCTTTGGCATGGGAAATGAGATTTCTATCACTGAATGCCTTCTGGACCCAAAATTTATGGTTGCCAAATCTTATGTGGCTATTCAATGGAAATGAAATTGTTTTAAACACTGTTATCAAATTAACACATGATACAAAAGGAATTAAAATGAAAAGCAGTAGTAACTTGTTCTTCCTCCATTTCATCATTCAGAAGTAGCTGTCCTTAATGATTTCTAATTTTAGACTATTTTGCTTGTTTGTTAACTTTATCTTTAGACTTCTTGCTTTAATAAATATTGAATTTTCTTAGACCCCTCTCATCTGTCATCCCATCTTTATACAGTATCATGTAAATTGCTTATGTATTACTTCTCTTTACAACTATAAATAACAAATTTAAGCCATCTTTACTCTTTGCTTCCTCCATCTGTTCCCCTTCCCTTTCTGTCTTGGTTTCAATATACATCGAGATTACCAAGGCTGTGTCTGGAAATGCAGCATAGTAAAGTAGTTTACATCATTAAGTGCATGAACTGGAGTCAGATTGCCTGGCTTAAATGTCAGCTTTTCTATTTAATGACTGTAGAACCCTGGGTAAGTAGCTTAACTTGACTTTGCCTCGAATTTTTTCATATGTAAAATGAGAGTATAGTTTCAGTTACTTCATTGTTTTGGGGTTGTTTAAATCAGTTAACATATATAAGCTCACTGCCACCATGTCTATTCTTCTGTCTTTTAATGTCCAAGAACGATGGGAGTAGAAAACCTGATCTTTCCCCTGTAGAGCTGCTGGCGGTTTCAAATTGCTAACCTTGTGGTTAGCAACGTAGCACAAACTCCACCATACCACCAGGGTTCATTTAACATACATAAGGGAGTGTCCAAAAGTTTGTGGAAAAATTCCATTCTATTATTGTAGTAGTCAACTTTATTCCTGTGACCACCATCATACTTTCTTGCTTTATCTGTATAACTGCCCTTGTTTACTTAACCCATTCTTAATCTCTGATTGTTCTTATTTCTTTCTCATGTTTTCTGTTTTAGTATTTTATTACAAGTTTGAGCTAATTTTTTTCCTTTTACTCAGACTTTTAAAAAAATCATTTTATTAGGGGCTCATACAACTCTTTTCACAATCTGTATGTACATCATTTGTGTCCAGCACATTTGTACATATGTTGCCCTCATCATTCTCAAAACACCTGCTTTCTACTTGAACCCTGGATATCAGCTTCTCATTTTTCCCCTCCCTACCCGCTCCCTGCTCCCCCTTGATAATTTATAAATTATTATTATATCATATCTTACACCATCCGACGTCTCCCTCACCCACTTCTCTGCTGTCCGTCCCCCAGGGAGGAGGCCATATGTAGACCTTGTCATCTGTTCCCCCTTTCTCCCTCACCCTCCCTCCACCCTCCTGATATCGTCACTCTCATCACTGGTCCTGAGGGGTTCATCTGTCCTGGATTCCCTGTATTTCCAGTTCCTATTTGTACTAGTGTACATCCTCTGGTCCAGCTGGATATGTAAGGTAGAATTGGGATCATGATAGTGACCTTTTCACTCAGATTTGTCTGTTTGTATTTTCTCAGTGTTTTGTTGATAATTTGGTTACTCGTTCATATTTAAGAATGAGTAAATACAAAGGTTGGTTGAGAACTCTATGGATGTTTATATTGTTTGTCATAACATGGAAAATTATATGAGAGTAAGCAAACAAAAGAGTTGCTTATTAGTTTATTATATTCCAATTTCTTCACATGCCAGACTTTGTAGTTTACTCTAGGTAATGAACCATTTTAATATTATGTTTCCTGAGGGTTCACTTAATGTGTGTAGAGAAAAGGTCTCTTATTTAAAAAATAATATATATATATATATGGTAGATGGAAAGATCTACTTCTTGCTGTGTTCATTATTTTGCGGATCAGAGAAAGTTTGGGATTTGTTCCACATGCAGATTTTCTGTTACTACCTTCATTTTCAGTCCCATACCAGATGCTTATTTTTGAAAGTACTTGCCTCCTAAGACCAGAGCTGTCCTTGGGTTGGTTCTGGGGGACAGCTTTTTCATACTCCAGTTTTAGCGTCCCCTGCTGTGGGAACTCAGCAACAGCACTTTTCCTTCCCGTATCAGTTTTCCTTCCGATAGGTCGTCCCTCTCACAGTCTTTGTATCACTCTGCCCCACACTCCTTTACAACCTTTCTAATAGCATCTTGGGAGAAATAGAAGAGGAAATAAAGTAATATATTCTATTTTGAACTGAAAGTTTTCCTGTACAATTGAAAAGGATAGCAGGTGTTAAACTCATAAATTCAAATATGTTTCTTTCTATCTTAAATATTTGTTGAATGAAGGAATGACTGAATTGATATGTTAAAATGCTTAAATTAAACTATAAATATTGCACAGGACCGGGCAGTATTCCATTCTGTTATAGGTAGGATTAGTATGAGTTGGAACCAACTTGACGGATGTAATAACAACAACAACAACACAAATCTGTACCACATTCCCCTTTCTTCAGCTCTCTAGTTTTTGTTTTTTTTTTGTTTTTTACTGTCTGTAACTTCTATTGTAGTTTTTTGTGTGTGACTGTATTTGTCTTTCTCTGCTACTGAATTTATATTTTCATCAGCACATCCTTTTCTGTGTAGTTAATAATAAGCCATTCACCTAACTGACATCTTTCCCCTTTGGGCTTGTTGTATCTATGAACCTTTGGAGCCCTGGTGGTACAGTAGTTAAAGTGCTTGGATACGAACTGAAAGGTTGGCAATTTGAACCCTCTAGCCACTCCATGGGAGAAAGGTGTGGCAGTGTGCGATGGGGATTTACAGCCATGGTAACCCTATGGGACAGTTCTTCTCGTCCTTGTAGAGTTTAAACACATCAGAAGTAACTGGATGGCAATGGGTTTGATCTCATTTTGTATAGATCTTATTGGTTGCAAATGAACTTCAATTTATGTTATTACTAGAAAACTCTAGGCTTTCACTTTTCAGTACTCTCCGTTTAGTTGTTTTAGGAAGCCTGCTGTTTTGGCAGTGTGTATTTCCTTCTAGAATACTAAAGGTATGTTGGTTCAACTACTCCCTGTCTCTCAGCTGACTGAATTTAGAGTCTGTCCTTGAGAGTACCAATCCTGCATGCATGCATACTCATGATACTTGTTTCATTGTGTATAAGAATGTTTTGATAGGTGTTTATGCCCGTTATTCCATTACCTTTTCAAATATAACATTATTTTCATAAACAAGGAAGAAGGTATGATTGAAGTTATTACTGATTTATAGTGTTTATGTGTTGTCAGGTTTCCTAGCTTAGTTCCCAGGCCTATTTTAAAATGTATTTATAACCACAAGATAACATGGTAAGTAGATAATGTAAGAATATACAGTAGATGCTTTGGACTTTTTCATAGTTCTGATTGCACAATCAAGCCTCATTTACTAAATTAGCAAATACCTGATGCTTAGGTCCTAAGGCTTAGGATTTAATAAAGTTAGTTTATTTCATCTTTCTACAAGTTGTCACTTAGAGTTTGTTCACATAACAATGATTCACATATTGGGGAAAAAAGTCTAGTTGTATTTCACTGATGTCATTTATTTGCTTATGATACTATCTTGCCAATTGCTCTTGGATCAATACCAACTCTTGGTGACTTCAAGAATGTCACAATAGAGCTGTCTCCCATGGGTTTTCAATGGCTTATTTTTCAGAAATAAATCACTGTGCCCTCTGGAGCCACTTCTGGGTAGATTAAAACTTCCCACCTCTTGGTTAGCAGCAGCGTGTACTCCTTGCTTGTGATACGTATCCTACTTGCTTATAGGAAGAGCTTAAGCAGCCATGTAGCCTGTCAGAAACCCTACCTACTGAGGAGTTAACACTCAGAGTGCTGTGTATTATGTTAACGTAAATTGATTTTATTAGTGAAGCTTTTGTGCCTGTGTATATTTCATTGAATATTAATAAATACCATTCTTTATGAATTAATTTATATTTTCAGATCTTGATTCGTCACAGAGTAGTCAGTATACAAATTACTCTCCAAGACAAACAGATAGTTGTTTCAGTTCTAGTTCAGAGATGGTAAGTTATGCTGTTTTTTGCTTCTTAATATATGTTCTACTAGTTTTGAATTATTTGTACTTCTCATAGTTTATTTTTATATTATGAATAATTGGAGTTTCATATTATATACTAAAGAGAGATGTGATATTTCTGATAAACCACCAGTTTAACCGAGCCACTGCAGCTTTAAAAAGATCGAGTAAAACTGTCTCATAGAGATTCCAAGGCAGTTCCCTGACTGACACATTTGTCTCTTGTGGAGCAGTTAGCAATCATATTCTTAGCCACTGCATACCCAAAACAAAGGAAACCCACTGTTGTGGATTCAATTCTGATGTATGACGGACCTAGAGAACAGAATAAAAATACCCCATAACATTTCTAAGGTTGCGTGAATTTTTATGGGAGTACACTGCCATATTGTTAACCCACAGAGCAGCTGATGAATTTGAACTGTCAATCTTTAAAATTTTTTAAAACATTTTATTAGGATCTCTTACAAATCAAGCAGTTATGTAATTGCTGCCATCATTTTCAAAGCATTTTCTTTCTTTTTGAATTCTTTGATATCAGTTCCCCTTTATTCCGTCACTCCCCTACCCTACAACCCCCCTGAACCCTTAATATATTATCTATTTTTCCCCCTATCTTACACCATCCTGTGCATCCATTAACCTAAAATTCTGTTGTTCGTTCCCCTTGAGTGGGGTTACATCGTCACCAGTGCTATCAGTTCCCCATTCCCACTTCCACCCCCCCCCCTCTTTCCATCTCCTCATAGAATTGCTATTCCCATGACTATTTCTGAGAGCTTTGTGTATCTTGGATTTCGTTCATTGAAAGATCTCAGTTGAACTAATGTACATGCGCAGGTCTAGCAAGATTAGTGAGGTAAAACTAAGGCTATAATAGTGTGGGAGGAGGAAATTTTAAAGAACTAGAGGATAGTTATGTGTTTTATCAGTGCTATACTGCACCTTGGATATATCATCCCTTCTATACGAAGTGGCCCTTCTGTGAGGGACTGTCCAATTGTCTTACAGGTGGGTTTTGCATCTCCACTTTGTCCACACTCCTTCACATCAATTTGATTACTTGTTTTTGAACTTCTGATACCTGTTCCCTTCAACACCTCATTATCACACATGCTGGTGTGCTTCTTCCATGTGAGCTTTGTTGTTTCCCTGCTAGATGGCCATTTGTTTAACTCCAAGCCTTTGAGACCCCAGAAGCCATATCTTTTAGTAGCAGGGCACCATCAGATTTCTTCACCACATTTGCTTATGTACCCATTTTGTCTTCAGCGATCATGTTGGGAAGGTTAGTATTATACAGTGCCACATTATTAGAACTAAACATTCTTATACTGAGGTAAGATTTAAGTAGCAGGCCCAAAGTCCATCTGGTTCCTTGTTGTTTTAACATATTTACATACAGAGATAAATACACCTATCTCTATATATTTACATATGTATCTATATTTATACCTATATATATCTATCTATATTTATACACATATATATATATATATATAAAATTTTTACTTCATTGTTCTGTACTGTTTATTTTTTTCTTTCCTCTCTCCCACTATCATGTTTACCCATCATTCACCTCTCAGCAATCCAACTCGGAAACATTACAGTTGATCAAACACCACCAGGGACAGTATACCCTCCTTGCCGTCGATTTTAAATCCCTTGCTATTCCCCTGTCCCTGACGTTATTGCTCATCACTCCCCTCCCCTCATCTCCTCATATCCTATACCTGCCTAGCCCCCCTATGCCCCATTGGTCTGTAGCTGTCACCTTGGGATTGCTTATCCTGTCTATCTTATATAGCTAGACAACATCACCAACAAAATAAAAGAAAACAAAAAATAGCTCCAGGTCTGACTTTGTGAATATCCCCCAGCCATTTCAGATAAGATGCCAAGGACTGCCTACCAATTCAGAAATTTACTTTGAGAGTTTTCTGGGACCTTTGTTTGCATTGCTGATCTGTTCTACTCCCCTCTTGGATTTACCCCCTTGTGAGGAGGTATCTTCAGTGCTGTCCTCAATAGTGTGTGATCTAGGGCTGAGATGTCATGTCTTGAGCTGGGCCTGGCTCTGCTGTCCTCTCTGTGAACTAGCTGCTCAGAGATGGCTTGACGTGCCAGAATGAGGTCTTCTCTCTCTCTCTCTTAATTTGTTCCCATGTGGATGGGATAGACCTGCCGCTCTCCCCCGACTGTATCTTCAGTACTGTCCTCCATATCGCTGTCATCTAGGGAGGGGGACATCATAACTTGAGCTGGGGCCGGCCTTGCAGCCCTCTCTGTTAATGCGCTGCTCTGTGCAGGTATGTTGCCCTCAAGGATTGGTGCACCAGAATGCGGTCTGCTTTCTCTCTCCCTTTCCTGAGGAGACATCAAAAGCACCCTTCCCATAGGTGGATTAGTGCCTTGCTCCCCCAGTACTGTTTTTTTTCTTTCCTCAAAGTGTATGAGAGGAGGAAAAGATATCTTTCAGCCCTGGTGCTATCTGCCACTTTTTACATTTCCTCTTTTTATTTTGATGCCATATGCTTCCTTCGGTTTTGTCTGACCCATGCCAGAGTACCTGGTCCTTACCCTAGAAACTATGTGGTATGTTCATTTTCCTCTATAAGCATTGTACTGTTTGAACTTACTGTAGTGGACTACTCATGTTGTACTTGTTATCCTTTTGTGCTTGGCTAACTTCACTCAACATAATTTCCTCCAACTCTTTCCATGAGATGACATGCTTTATGTTTTCATTGCTGCTTTTTAGGGATGCATAATACTCCATTGTTTGTGTATACCAGAGCTTTTTAAACCATTCATCTTCTGATGTAAGTTCAGGTTGTTTCCAATTCTTTGCGATTGTGAACTGTCCCCCATTGAACATTGAAGCGCAGTTGTCTGGTTGTGGTCTGTTTCTTACTTCTGGGTATATGGCCAGTAGGGGGATTGCTGGGTCATAAGGTAACTTAATTTCCATTTGTTTTAGGTATTGCCAAATTACTTTCCTTAAGTGTCTATAAGACCACACAGAGTGGATGAGAGTTCCTATCTCACAATACCCCCTATACCATGTGTTTCTTTCTGATTTTTTTGAATTGGGCTATCTTTGAGGATGTTAGGTGGTATCTCATAGTTGTTTTAATTTGCATTTCCCGGATGTGAAAACTACCAATCTTTCAGCTGAGCACTTTAACTATTCCATCACCAGGGCTCCTTTAATAATATTAAAAATGATGACTTTCTCTTCTTTGAAAACATTTCTTTTATTTGTATTATTATTCTAGCTTCCTTTATACTTCTCTGATTACTGCTTCATACCTTTGCCTGCTTCCCCTTTACTCTTCTTGCAATATAATGAGCGCATATTTAGTGTTTGGTTCAAGACCCTCTTCTTCTGTTAATCTGTATTTTAAACCCTACATAGTGATATTTGTTATAATGCTTTGATCTATTATTTGGGTTATAATAATGCCCGAGGCTGTGGCTAGCCTCGACCCTCATGTAGATATTCAGAATCCTCTCAGAAATTTCATTTTGAAACTTCACAGGAATCTCTCCTTATCTCTAATTGAACCCAATTTCTTTTTTCCAAATCTGGTAACTGTTATTTCCCATAATAGTAGGTATCTATTTATCTAGTTGTTCGTTTCAGAAACTTAATAATCACTTTGCCACTTCTTTGTCTCATTTGCCTCCTGCAGCCACTTTCAGTCCATTACTACATCATCCAAGCAGTTATCTCCAAAGTAAATTGAACATTTTTCTACTTGTCTCAACCTCTGGTGCCAATTTCCAAGTCTTGTTCTTGAACTCTTCTTGTTTCTAAGAGATCTGTACATCCACTCTTGTCTCACTTTGTTCTCTAATTAGTAGTCATTATGATCTGTTGAAAACATAAATTAAATCACACTATTTCCATGTTTAATTACTCAATGGATTCCAAAGTTACTTTAGAATATAAACTCCATAATGTGACCTTCAGGCCCTGTGTAGCCTGATCCCTGGATGCATTGCTGATTTTTTCTAGTGTCATTCTCGCTTGCTCACCATGCTCCATACCGTTGGTTCACTTTCCTTAGTGTGTCATTCTGATTTTGCTTTTCAGGATTTTGTACAATGTTTCCTCTTCCTGGAATATTTTACTGTACATTATTTTTCTATAAATTTCTGTTTAAATATATTACTTCTTCAAAGGGCCGCCTTTTGTTTCCTCAATCTGAATTAGACTTCTTTATTATGCTACCCAAGAAGCTCTGGTGGTATAGTGGTTTGCATTGGGCTGCTAACCACAAGTCAAAAGTTCAAACCCACCATCTGCTCTTCAGGATAAAGATGAGACTCTCTGCTCCTATAAAGATATACCGCCTTAGAAACTCACAGCAACAGTTCTACGTTATCCTATAGTGTTGCTATGAATAATAATAGACTCAACAGCAGCAGGTGGGTGGAGCTTTCATGGCCAAATGGGTAAAGTGCTCAGCAGCTAAGCAAAGGTTATGGTTAGAACCCACAGCCCACTCCCTGTGAGGAAGGTGTGGCAGTCTGATTTACAGCCTGGGAAATACACTGGGCCTGTTGTACTCTGTCCTTATAGTGTTCTTCTGAGTCACTGTTAACTTGGCAGTAATGGTTTGTTAGGGTTTGACGTTACGTTCACAAAGTACCTCCATGACGTTTTCTTTATAGTCTTCTCAGTACTATGTACATGAATGTGTGAGATTATTAGATGAATGTAATTTCCCCCTACTCGGATGTGTGTTCTAGGAGACAATAAGTGTGCATGTTTCACTCACATTGCAAATGCTCAATAAATATTTCTCTTAAAGAAGTACATTAAACTTACTTTATCCAATTAATGCTCAGCCAGCTTCAGTATAATTTCTTGGACGTATTCTTTTGTTTTAGTACCAATAAGGTATGGTCTATGCCTTATTTTAGTTTTTTTATAGTTTGTTTTCTATTAACTTAAACAATCAATGTGAGATTATCGTATATGACATTGTAAGATAAGGAATATTTGTGATATATAATATCGATTTTTCACGAGGTTGAAACATTTAAGGCAAAAGATTGGAATCCAACCTATTCTGAAACTTTAACTTTTCAGATAATACTTAGTTGAGATATTTATTGCTGTGGTGGATTTGATGTTCTATTAGCAAATAGTCTCCTTAGGTATTTATATGGTATATTTTCCACGAAACTTTGCCCATAAAAAGTATACTAGGGAAAGTAAAAAAGTTGCTGATAGATTCCTTTTCGTACATACCTGAGTGTATTACGAAGAAAATGTATTTCAGCATGTCTCAGCAGTCAGTGGATGGCAGCTGCCAGGTTCTCTTAGTGATACACTTGTATTGCTTTTGTCAGGTGCCTTACAAAATGTGTCCAAGCAGATCTATGGCTTTCAAGGGGATCTGTGAGACCAATTACACTCAAAGCAGAGAAAGCAGTTCAGGTTTTTAAAAATAATATTGATATAGTTTCTGGAAGGTCACAGGTCAATCACAGGGGCTTATTATAAGATAATTATAAACTACACTGGTAAGAAAAGGCCAGAAAATTTGTCCTGAGAATGTTTTCCAATCATGACAATCCACTGTTTATTCTTTAAGGGCAGCAAGGGCTGTCCAATAAGTATTTGGTGTGGAAAACCTTACTCCACGCGTCGTACAGCCCTGATGCTGGTTCTTTAGACTTCTCTTTGTTCCCATAACTCAAAGAAAACCGACAAGGATTTGTGCCCCTCACAGATGCCAAAACTTCCATTGTAAAGTAGTGTAAATAGAAGAGTGCAGAATTATGGGGGGAAAGATTCAAGAGATGAAGACACCGTCTTCCCAAGTTTATAAATATGGATGCAAGATATATAAGGAAATTGTAGTGTCATGTTTTTATATTTCTGTTTAATAAAGTTTTCTATGATTTTTTTAGTAATACATTTTATTTACCCTTATAGAATCAGTATTCTTTGAATGAGTGGGTCAATAAATGACTGATAGAATACATTCTTTGCCTTAGCTGTACCTTTTAAAGTGTCCCCATGCTTCTATTTTATTCTTTTTAAATGTTTGAAGTGTGTGTTGCATATATTTTCTTCTTTGTGGAAAGCGAATGGGATAATAAATTTTTTCATTAGGGAGACATACAATAAGAAACCTTAACCCCTAATAACCTTTGAATTTTACAAATGAAGACTAATATTAATTTTCTTTAAAAAAAATCTGTAATCTCCAGGGAGTTAGTAGGTTATAATTTATAGATTCTTGGATAATTTATCTGCTTTGATTTATCACAATCTCTTCTGTATTTAGAAATTTTCTAATATGGTTTTTAAGAATATCTACTTCTACGTGATTACACCAAACTTTAAAATTTTAAGTGTTATTTACAGCAAAATTATTAAATTTCTTTTAGCCGTCTGAAGATGAAGAGCAAATATTTCAGAAAAATGAAGATTCAGATAGAAGATTCATTAAAACCAAAGAAACAACTAGTAATACTTATCCAAACAGGATGTTAAATTTTCCAGACGACAGGATTATTAAAGACAATCACAATATTCACACACAGAATGACTATTCTCATCAGTTCTCAATTAAAATTGGTACAGATCAGTCTTCACGCTCTCAGAATAACTCTAAATACACATTGCAAAGCACAGCCAGCAATAACTTCATTCTGCAGGTTGTAAGATGTGATGCTTGGGTACAAACAGAGAGTCAACAAACAATGGAAGAAAAATTAGATGCTGCCATACAATGTGATATAATTTCAAAATGTAAATGTAGAAATGATACAGCTTCTCTTTGTAACATTGAAAACTGCACTGAAAATACTAAGACGGGTACCACTGGAGGGCAGGACACCCTAAAGAACAACTAAGATTCTAAAATCTCAGCCTGGATTTTTGCATTTCACTTGACCTAGGAAGGCAATCGTATTAGTTTAGACTTTTACTAACCAAGTAAGGAATGAGAAAATTGCAGCTAAGCATAGGCGAAGGAATTTATGGTTTATTTTGATATTTTATTTTTATTACTTTATGCATTTAATTTTTTACATAGGCATTTTATGAATAGGTTTAGTATGTTTTCAAGTTTTAGAAAGTTTTATATATGTAAATGTACTGACTATTCTTATGGTGGTTATTAATTGTGTTGTTAAATGGATTCAGAAATGTTTGATTGCTTTCTTAATTATTGCATTAAAAAGCTTGTACAGTTGCATCTCTAGCAAAAAATGTTCTTTCAAGATTTTAAACCAGAAATTAATACTAAATAATATCAAATACATTTTGTAGTTATTTATTCTAATACTATACTCATTTAGAACATGTCTTGCATTAGTATTTAGATAAGATGTATTTCCTGTTTTGCTTGTATAAATTTTTTGGAGACTTGTATTCAGAGGAAAAATGTGTTTCTATTCAGGATTAAAACATGCTTTAAATGTTCAAAATTTTGAAAGTAAATTTTTGTTTATTTTACTGTTGATTCTTTTTATAAATATATCAGAAGCTATCTTTTCTAAAACATGGCTGTATTTCCAACAAAATATTAATAATTTGTCAGGAGTATTTTAAATGTTAATACTATGAAATTGACATTGATATGAATATATTATACGGTGTAAAGAAGGAAGCATTTTGATCTCTCACTGGACCAAAAAATGATTAGGGGTTTTTGTGCCATTAAGCAAAAAGGTGACTGGAATCTGCCTTTTCACATACATACATATCACTCAATTGTCTTTGTTGCCAAGGTGATTTGAGGCATAACAATTTAAAGTATCAACAATAATGTATGAACAATAGCAATCTTCCGATTCTTAGCCGGTTTGAGGCCACCATTTTTCCTGTGTCAAAGAGAATATGGTAAGCTTATCAATAACTTTCTTTAAGTGTAGTAGCCATCTCGTAAAAGGATAATGTAAATATCGAATGTGCATTCATACTCAGAAGATCAGAGTTCCTCCATGTTGCATGGAGAGTATTCCATCATGGATTATTTTGAGCACTGTTTTATAAGAATCTGGTGTATAAGTGAAGACCCGATATGTGGAAAACGAAGACCCTGTATTTGAATTAGAGTAAATTAGAGCTGTGTGTCTCAAGTTGATTTAAAATACAAAAAGATTTTTCTTCAATACAAATCAAAATCTCAATATTGTAAGAAAATACATTACAAAAATCAGTATAGCTAATTTTGCTTTTATCAGTGCTGTAGTATGGCAGTTAAACTCAGTGTGGTGAAGAATACTAGAACTTTTTAAATATAATGACCACACACCTTGGGAAATAAAGGATATAAATATATTTGGAAAGGAAATTAAATTTATAAATTAAATTAGATTTGCAGATTTAAAAGTATGTCATATTTATCCAAATACACAGTGCCGCAGCCACTGTTCAATATGGACTGTTTTATTTAGAGTCACTGTAGTTAGCAGTGTAAATTAAAACTGCTCAGAATCATTACTAAACTTTCCATTTTGTTGCCTTTTCAGGTAACTAGGACTTAACTTCATACCTACTGTTATATATCTTAAAAGGCAAATGTGAAAAAACGATATTCACTTCAGTTGGCTTTTCTTGCTTTTTACCAAATGGCTTCACCAAGAGAAAATCTACAACACTATGTATTTGGAGTAACTTTTCAACCTTTTTGATGGTCTGGGTTCTCTGTTTCATGGTTAAGGATTTCACAGCTTTTGCTACATTAGCTACTTTAAATCACATGTCATCCCCCCCCCTCCTCCCCCAAAATGGTGATAATGTCAACTTAGCCACAAAATGGTGATAATGTCAACTTAGCCATGTTGTATATTTAGCCATTAAATAATATAAGCAGCGACCTGATCCAGATTTCACAATTATTTCTTCCTTTATCTCTATTATGGTTCTCAGTTTTCTTCTTAGCTTTACTGCTGGTATCACTAAATTTTCAGGGAGCCATTATATTTTACACAAATAAATTGCAAAAAAAACAGCACAATGACGAATGTTTTAACACACTAATGTAAGCACTATGTGTTGGCTGAGCGAGAGCAAAGCTTAGACTGAAGACACTCCTTTGTGACTGAGGGGAGACATGATGTGTGACTCATTCTTAGACCATATGGGTTTTTTCCAAATCAGATTTTCAGTTCGACTACCAAGCAACGTTACAAACACTAAGCAGATTTTGTTCAGACTTGCTCAAGTTACGGAGATTTCGAGCGTGGTGTCATCGGACAACGTGGCCATCACTGTCTGTGCACTTGAGTCTGTCTAAGTTTGCTGTTATGGGGAATCCAAATTAAGACAGGGATCAAAGCAAACGAATGAATTGTCTTTATAGGTGTTACTTCAGTGTTCACCTGTGCAGAGCTTTCTAATTTTAATATCCTCTTGTCCCAGATTCCCTAATCGTACCACCTACCAGTAACTCAATTAAGTGGGTCTCGCAGCACCAACGTGTTTATCGAAATATTGCCAGTTTGGATTAAGAGGAAAAGGGACAGCAAAAGATGCAAGGAGACCTTTGGATCTCTACCAATATTGGCTGGAAGTAGAATGAGAAGATTCCATTGTGGGGAGTCCAGAATCACTATGTAAAAAGATCCCTCTGCAGTCTGCATACTGGAGAGACAGATGCCCCAGGAGCTCCAACTCTTCCAGCTTCAGCCATTTTAGTCAAGGTCTCAGGCATGTGAGTGATCCCAGACTTCTAGTTTTAAACCTCCAAGCAGATGCCCAAAAGAATAAGCACATGGCCCCCGCCAAGCTTTGTCTAATTGCAGTTTTATGAGCAAAATGTATGTTATTGTTTTAAGCCATTATGGTTTGGGGGCTTTAATTACCCCCAAATTGATCATTGAAACATATTTTGGTACCTGGAAGTGAGGTTCTGCTATAACAACATCAACAGAAAATGTGCTTTGGGATTGAGTGACAGTCTGAAACTTGAAAAACCCCTGAGAAGGTTTCTAATTAAAGTTGAAAGAGCCTTGAAGATATTGTTTGTGGAAACCTGACGGCCCTCCAGGGAGCTGTCAAGGAGTGCCCAAAGGGACCTTTGCTATCAGAAATTGGAAGAATGGAGGCATTATGTAGTGATTGAAAAGTTACGCAGCCCTGTACCTGCATTAATTTGGAAAGTGGAAAATGTATCTAATGAGTTGGTGTATTAAATGACATTTCGTAGGAGAATGTTGCATATGCCATTTATGTAACATGGCTGCTCCTCACTGCCTATAATGCATATGGTAAGATGCGAGTCTTAAGGAAAAAAATGTCTGTAAATAAAGGAGCCAGAACTTGCTGGGCTCAAGACTCAAACTAAAATCTATTTTAGCCTCTTCACGTGGCAGAGGATACTCAAATTAAGAAAAGGCCTTTGGTCAAGGAACAAACACAGGGCATAGTCAGGAAACAATAAAGATGAAGGCAAGGGTCTGACTGTACCTTGTATAAGGACCTCAATGATTTGAGGTGGTGCTTCAATCAATCTAAGAATTTTAACAAGCATGCCTTACAGATGGTTTCCTTTAGACAACAGGGCTTTATGGAATATTAGGGTCTTTTCCTTTAACAGACTTATGTGGGCTAAAGGTAAGAAGGGTTTGTCTTGAATTTTGAGTGGGGCTTTGATCTAGGAAACCAAAAATGATTTAAAATAAATGTAGAAGTACTACCAGCTTGGGGCTAAGAGAAGCAGAGATAGTATAACACGAAACAAGGTCTTTGGACTTTCAGAATTTTAACTACTGCTGACAGGAAGTAGGCCTAGAAAACCACGTACTTAGCTTCAAACATTTTTCTATGGAAAAGATGATTGAGAAAGTAGAACCATGAGCTCAGAGGATGGAACAAAGACTTGGGGAATATCATTCACAGGCAAGAAGATACACTCAAGGAACCGTCAGCTAGTGCCTGTATGGATTTCAGATATTTTTATGGGCTATTGATTCTTGTCTCTCATTTTCAATCAGAAATCTGTCTTGATTCTCCTATGCCTTTTCTATCACTGAATATTGGTGCATCATTGTTTTGTTTTTAGTTCACCAGGACTTTAGATGGAAAGTAGCTATATTTGAGAAGCTGTACTTGATTAATGGAATCTGAGGGGTTGCACCCATACTTGGATGCGATCTTGTATTTAGAATCTCAGCTTAACTCCTTAATAGATGAGACTTGCAGGCGTGGAGGTTGTCTTGGAAGGAATATAGATACTTTGTTGATCAGAGGATGTGTTTGTGATTTCATGTACTCCTTTTACCAAAGATGGAGTCTTACTGCCCTTCTGTTGACTGTGGAAACCCCAGTGACTTGCTTCTAAGGAACAGAAAGTGTTGGAAGTGATGTTGAGTGACTTCTAAGGCTTTGTCTTAAAAGGTGATTACATTTTCAGTTGTTGCTCTCTCGTTTTTTTAGAACATATGCCTTTGGCGTCCTGAGTTGACATTAAGGAAGTCTCCACCTTAAAGGACTGTGTTAAGACCACATATAAAGATGCCCAAGGAGCTCCAGCTTTCCCAGCCCCCAGCCTTTGTGTCTTCCCCACTAGAGGTCGGATGCATGAAATGAGTGAACTGCCTCCATGCTGCCAAACAGTCCCAGCCCTCACTGAGAGGAATAGAAATGAGCTGTTTTCTGCTAGATTTGCTCAGATTACAGGTTTATGGTCAAATTATGGTCAAATGTGCTGTGTTTAGCCACTAAAATGATCAGTGTTTTTTCCTCTCTCATATACTCTATTCTCCACCACATATCTTATAATAGCCAGACCCTGTTTTGACTTGCTTTATCTCAAAAACTATCTGAGGGAGATTAAAAAATTTATGAAAAAAATGGAATTAAAAAACAGTGGAATTTTCTCATGAACTTGTAAAAGCCTTTTCATATATGGTCCAAATACTACTATTTGCATAGTGGGTACGCAGTAAATCCAGGTGGTGCTGTTAAAACAGCACAGAACACAACTAGAAAGGCATGTACTTGGTTCTTTTAAAG